TGTAATTTCGCATTATTTACACAAATCATATGATATAAAATGTTACAAATGTCTATATATGCATAAACCAAAAGGATAATGTGTGCTATATCGAATGTTACAAATCATATCATAAATCGAATGTTACAAATGGTTTAATTACTTTGATGTATATAGATTAAATGTTTGAAATCATATAATATGATAGAAATTATATTAGTATATTTATGCATATACCAAAAGGAAAATGTTTTATATAGAATGTAACAAATCATAGTGTAGTAACCAAATGTTACAAATCTATACTACTAAAATGGGTTTGATATATATTTGAATTATGTAATCTATAGTGTTGTTTTGGGCAATGTTATAAATCATATTATATCAAATGTAGAAAATAATATCATATCATACAAATCATATCACATATAGCTATAGGACAATGGCTGCTATATCGAATGTTAAAAATATTAGAAAACATATCATATCATACAAATCATATTAGTATATTTATGCATATACGAAAATGACAATATTTTTTATACAAATTCCAAATCATTCAACTAAACAAATGTTACCAATCTATACTACTAAACTGGGTTTGATATATATTTGAATTATGTAATCTATAGTGTAGTAACCAAATGTTATAAATCATATGATATCAAATGTAGAAAATAATATCATATCATACAAATCATATGATATCATATCATACAAATATTTATATTTTCTACATTTGATATAAAATATCTTTTATAACATTTGGTTACATTTGATATCATACATATATTTATATTGTCTACATTTGATATCATATCATCCAAATCATATGACATATACCGAAATGACAATGTAAATATGTAACCCTTCTAAAAATCATATGATATCATGTTACAAATAATATAATATCATTCTAATTGCATATTGGTATAACCTAGATAAAATAAAAGTATGTAACATAAAATGAAATATGGTTAGAGTAATTAATGGGAAGAGAGAGATTAAATCGGGTATATGGCTAATGTGATATGATCTGTAACATTTGATATATATGTAAATGTAGGGCAAAAATAAATTACCAAAATGCCATTAATGAAAGGTGCACACAACTTGTATAAGTAGATTTTTCTCGGGTGCCTTCACATTTAATAGTATAGATATGAAAGTATTTGTGACTGTTCACATAGGACAAAATAATTAACCTATAGAAACACTGCATTCAAACACGTCACTATATTTTGTTGTTAACCCAATTTATTTAATGAAGAGGCCCCAGTAAACCTAACGATTAGCTTCTTCTTCTCACCCTCTTCTCCGTTTACAATTCCAAAAAAAAAAAACTAAAAAGTGATCACAAACGGACTTTCGCACCGGTCCTCGGTTTCGTCAAGTTCCGGTTAGGCGTTCAACAAAATTAGAATCAAACCGACAAAAAGAAGAAACGATCTGATTACGGCTAGGAATGGGCACAAGCCAAGTACTTTCCAATTTCCAGAGGCTTGGTATTTGGCTTGGTTTGTTCAAGTATTCATATTCAGGACTTGAACTTGATTTGTTTAAAACAAGTACTTACCACATTAAGTACTCGGAAGAAAAACTAGTACTTGCGAATTACTTAATTTGATTTGTTACTTGCTAAAATCAAGTACTTGTTTAAAAAAAAAAGAATTATTACTTCAAAATTTAAAATAAACACAATTTACTACAACAGAATGTGCTATGTTTTTTTATCAAAAAAAATTATTGGAAGCTAATTTTTATCTGATTACAGATACAATATAAATAAAAGAAAAATATGTTAAATAAATAATGAGAATTTTTTATAAATGAATAATGAGCAGCAGGTAAAAAACAAGTAATGATAAAAATATTACAAGGTATAAAGCTATTTGATACTTGATTTACATTTGTAAACAATAAGATATATTGGTTTATTATCCTATTTAACAATGTCGAGAACTTTATTTTGCAAAACGAGACAAATATGCCGATTAAAAGAACATGGCTCATTTAATTTTAAATTTAAATAGATTAATATTAAGAATCTATAAAAACTTATGCCAATGTTACTAAAACAAAAATAAATTTTAGAACGAGTAACAAGTATAAACGAGTCAAGTAATTAAGTTTATTTAAAGACTTGATACTTGACTTGTACTTGCAAATTTTTTATTTGAGATACTTGTTACTTGGTTTGATTACTGTGAGTACTTGATTTGACGGACAAGTACGGGTCAAGTAGCGGGTACAAACCGAGTAACGAGTATTTGTGCCCAGCCCTAAATTCGGCCAAAAAAACCACCAACTTTGCACGAATTGCCAAAGAAAACATGAACTCGAAGCTGACCAAAAAAATACTGTACTTTCTTTTAGTTTTTAATTTTATTTGAGAACTTATCATTGACTCACCATTTTAGCACACCGTGATTTTACATTTTACAATGTAGACGTTGTTATTTTGACGTTAAGTGAAACGACGTCGTTTTGTGTGTTTTTAAAACGAAAAATATGCTATCTCAGGACCCGAACTCAAGAAATCAAAGCCAGACAACATGGTCTTTCGCCACCGAGCTAACGACACCTCTGATGAATCTTTAACATATTTCCTTTTATTGTGTAGCCAAAATATTTTTAAGAACCTTAAAATTTTACAAAATTCAAAAAATCAATAAAACTTGTGAAAATCTTAAAATAAAAAATTCAATTACAAATAAAATTTAATTTTTGCTAATATTAATTAAAAAACATAAAAATCTAAAATCCAAAAATGCGAAAAAACTAATGATTAAAAAGATGACAAAAAACTAATGATTAAAATATTTTCAAAAATATTTTATTATAAAAATTAATGTATCTAAGATCATTTGTGTATTTCACCTTTAATACATTAATCATATGAAAAATATAGTGTGATAAATATAATTCTGTATATTATCATGCATGCATTCATTTATATAAGAGTTTTAAAACTATTTTAATCATTAATTTTCATTTTTAGCATTTGAATTTTTTAGATTTTTTATTTTTAATTTTTTGACATTTTTTTTGTTTTTTAGAAATTAAATTATTTGAGATAAAATACAAAAACGATATTTATCACACTATATGTTTTAGTACAATTTGGTTTTCTAAGAACACTAAAAAAAATTGTTGCTAAGATGTGATAACAAACGAACATACACCAAAAACTACGAATGTTTTTTATTTAATTATTATCTAGTAATGTATAAAAATCTTTATTTTTTGTTGTATGTTCATTCAATATCATATTTTAGCAAAACAATTTGTGATAATATCATTTTTTATTTTATATTAATTTTCATTTCTATTCTATCTCAAATACATTATTCATACTAAAATCTATTGTGTGATAAATATCATTTTTATTTTATCTTACACACATTAATTTATATAAAAATAGTTTTCAAGTTTTTTTAATAATTAAGTTTAATTCGTTGCATTTCTTTGAATTATTTTATTTTTTTTTCAATTTTTTAATGTTTTGATTTTCAAACAAAAAAAATATTTGTAATTTCATTTTAATTTTAATTTTTCAGAATTTTCTTGAATTTTTAAGATTTTTGGAAGTTTTAAAAAAGAATTTAGATTTTTCGAGATTTTTTTGATACTCAATAAAAGAAAATATGTTATAGACTTCATTAAAAGTGTTAGTAGCACATTGGTAAGAAATCTCGAAATTTGGCCATGAGTTTTCAGGTTCGACTCACGCGATTGACATGTTTTTATAATAAAAATAGACAAAATGACGTCGTTTCATCCCATCTCAAAACGACTTCCTTTTACTTAAGGGATCTTAGCAAACGTTGTTCAATCATTCAGCGATAACTTACTGATTAAAGTTTAAAAGTTAAATATAGTTCAGTGTTTTTTTTGGCCATGTTTGTGTTTGTTTTGGCAATTCATGTATAATTGAAGTTTTTTTGGCCAAATTCTCTTTATTAATTAAGTAATATATATATATATATATATATATATAATGAGAAACAACAAAATAGATAAATAAAAGGATGAAAACGACATACGATAACAATTCTTGCGATCCTTTATTCTTTGTCGCATCATAAACACATATTCTCTTTGTTGTATGAAATTGGCCTTGTTGTTGATATATATATATATATATATATATACACTTTTTTTCTTTTTTTTTTCTTCTGTTCTGAATCCAATTTATTGATTCAACCATAAGAAATAAAAATTGACAAGATCAATTATCAACGATTGTACGAATATCGTCTTACAACAAAGAGAATTCATCTTCTATGTATTGTCGTCTTCTACAATATTCCAGTGTTATATTTTGATACCAAATATATTATATCAAAATATATATTATGAATACCTTGGACAACAGAAGACTGATTCTTTTGATCTTTAGATCTTCTTCTACTTTTTGAATTCATGGCGGTTTTTTCGGTAGATGTTGTTTCCATAGCCAATTCAATTAAATTTGTTTTTAACATTGAATAGACCTTGTTTCCATAGCCAATCCAATAAGATTTGTTTTGGACATTGAATAGCCATCACATTCTGATGATAACCTCTGGAAACGAATACAAAACTAACAATAAGTGTTAGGTTTGATAAGAACTGAGTAAAAAATGCTGGAAAAAAATCCAGTATAATCTTTAAAAATTACATAAAGATAGATGAATGAATAAATAGTATAGAAACACAAATCCATGTTTTTCTTTTGATATTTCATTCCTAATCACATTATTGATTTTTTGTAGACTTATGTATTTGAAAATGAAATCGAAAAAGAGGAGAGAACCACCGGACAGATGCCGGTGGGCCCTAAGAACAATTAGAGGGAATAGAAGAGTGCAGATGTAGAGGTTGATCAAATCACCGTCGAGAGAGCGAGCATCTTGTTATTTAGGGGCCATTTAAATGTATATTACCTTTTAATCAAAAAAATAATGTATATTACTTTTGATGAATGTTAATCTTTTGATTCTTTTCTCATTTCTGTATTTGATAAGGTAAGGATATTTGTAATTATCAAAATAGCTTGCACAATGATTTGAAAGTTAACTTCAGTGCAGATGATGAAAACAGAACTTTAAAAAGGCAGGAAACTTAGTAAAGACGCAATAACATTTTATAGCCAAGGATGACTTCCCCTTTTTTTTATCCCGGAGCAAGATTCTTCTCAGATGACTCATTTCCCTGACATGAGAGCTGAGACATGGTGTGTTGATGATGGATACCCTGAAAATCTGAATGGTGCGTTTTGGAACATATTGTCACGGTCTGCATCAGAGCTCGGTGTGACCAAACTAGAACATAGAGAGTTTGATGATTCTTGAAGTTTCTTAGTATTGAGGAAACGCCCACCGGTTCCTCTAGCTCTCTTCAATGCATGAAGATGGCGTGACTCATGAAGATACGGCTGCAGAAAAAAAAGAATATTTAAAGATCTTGTGGGTGTGTTAAGCAAATGGGAAAGTTAAAAGAGATTCATCGTTCATACTTTACGGCTTTTGATGAGTTTGTTCTGAGCTTCAAGCTTAGCACGATGCTTCCTGCGACGAAGAATCGCATGGTACTGTTTTGCATTGACGAACATTGGTTCATTCTCTTGAATGTTATAAGGTAACGGCACTCTTGAAGAAACCAAACCCATCATCTCTAAATGCGACGGCACCTACAAATAGTTCTTTCCTTATATAACCAAACCAACAACGCCTATTTGATTCAAAACTGTGAAAAGCATAGACATTTTATTACCGTTGGTTGCGGTGCATATTCCGGAGCCAAGAAACCATTGAAATGTGATGTTTGAGACCAACCAGAAGCAGGAGGAGGAGGAGGAAACACAGAATCTTGAGACACCATCGACGAGGTGGTTCTTGACTTATTATAACTTGCAATAGCCTTTCCTGGTGGGCTTAGGATGTAACCTGCATCAAGCAAAGACTTTTAGCGTTTTTTTTTTTTCTGTAATGTGACTAAAATCTTCAGATCAATGCCAAAGTTTGGCAACTTCATAACCACCTCCTGATTCTCCAGTAGATTGGGTTGAGGATGAATCTTGATCTTGCAACTGCAAACCTGAGTGCTTCATCGAGCAGGGCATCATCAGGTTCTTTGTTAAGCTAAAGGGTTGAGATCCTTGAATGTCTGAATGAGCTTGGATTGAGTTTTCCCAAGTAGAGCGAGATGTGTCTTTCCTTTGGAACACTTGCATTGTCTTCTTCTTAATAAGCTAATGTCCAAATCCAAGCAAAAATCATGTTTCACAAAATCAGCAAATCTAAGAGAGAAATGAATCCACAAAGTTTATAAAATCTACCAAAAAATCCAGATTCAATTGCTGAATTACACAGTAAATTGCTCAATTATTTGAAAAGATTCAAACTTTTTGAAAAGAGAAAGAAAAACAATCTTGGTTAAGCAGATTGATTCACTGATAGAAAGCACAACATGCAAACCAATAGATATATAAATATGTATAGAAGAAAAGAAAAATCTTTCAAAGAGGATGAAGTGAGATTAACTCAATTCTTATAGGGTGTGAATAGAAGAATGAGCTCATTCCTCAAGCTAACCGAGTAGAAATCAAATCTTTTTTTTTTTTTTTGTCACTGGAGTAGAAATCAAATCTATATTAAACTTACTGATCCAAGCAAACAGATGGTGTTTGGATTTGGTATCAGATGAAGAGAAATGAGAAGTTATGTAATAAGCTTCAGATGTTGTTGATGCATGTCTCCTTCCTCAAAACATGGCTGTTTCTTCTCTCTCTCTCTCTCTCTTTCTTTCTCTGTCTCTGCAAATAAGTGTAGTATTGGCTATGGCTTAAAAGACTAACCCTGACTCTCTTTTATCTTTTTATGTTTTTTTACCATTTTATACACTTAATTTTCTTCTGAATTTTGAAAGATTAATTGTAAGACTTTATACAAATATTAAAATGATAAATATATACTATTATTGTTACTTTTGTCTTCTATTTTTAATAAATATTCAACTACTTTTTAGTTTTAGATTTATTTGTAATTTTAAAGTAAAATACATTATTAAAATTATAAATATCAAATTTTATAACAAACATAATATTTTAAACAGCAATTTTTAAACAGACAGGAAATACATACTTTTATATTATGTTTTCCTTAGTTTTTTTTTAAAAAGCAAAAATATAAGTGGAAGGTTATGTCAACATCTCTTTATGGTGCAATCAATATCGCATTTAAGCAAATAATTTTAAATATTGTAATATTGTGGTTGCGGTAATTGAAATTTATTGCAAGTCAAGCAAAGCAAAGAGTCCTTTTACAGTTTTCTTTCCACATTTGGCTTCTCCAACACAAAGCAACGAATCTTAATTTGGTAGTTTCTGCTCCCATCTCCCTCTCTCTATTCATTTAATCCACCACAATTCTGAATAGTAATTACAACTACTACTAAAGAAAAAACCTTTAAAAAGAGCAAAAATTAATATTGGAAGATATCTACTTTGGGATGAAAAAAAATAACTAAAAGTCGAACTAATTATTGAGAGATGCTTCCGTTTGAAACTTGGTATTGTAATGTGAGATTTTAATAATGTATAAACTTTTTGTTATAAAAAAAAACACAAGAGAAAAGAAAGGGTAACTGTCATGCTTCCAAAAGAGGTGACAGGTGTTAATATAAAACATTATATTATCAAGATCGAGGGAATCGAGAAGTTCTTAGACTCAATTATTTTTGATTTTAGACATGCTTTCAACCACTAAAAACGAAAAAGTTAAATGCCAAATCTCCCCTAACCTCTGGATTCTTTACGAGAGATTTATTTATAATGATTTGAACGAAAACACGAAGCATCTAATACAAAACCAAAAGGAGACTAAACCCATTATCCTAATAATTCCAAATTTGAACATTACGCTTTCAAAGCCCAATCATAGACACTCACTACTTTATTGTACATCCAGACTCTTAACACGTATATGCAAGATTGAACTACAATCGTTGATTTGAAAAACGGTATTACATATATAAAGGAAAAACATGGTTGCCTACCTCATTTTTTATTATATAAAAGACAAGAACATTGAAAGTCATACACATTGATAGATTTAAAGTTTAAGTAGAGACGCGAGTGAATAAAGAAGAGAGATCAGACCGAATCTAAATCAAAATCTAGCCCTAAACAAACTATATATCAATATCACATGTGTTCAATTTTTCTCCGATGGACCATCAAACCATTTATCATATTAAAAAAATTAAAGCTTCAATATAGAAATAAATTTAATATTGAATCAACCAAAACCCCATTCCATCAGAAGATTATTCGAAACCTTGTGCTACCATTCATTCATGGTTTTGGTCAAAAGCTAATAAGAGTCCCTTCCTTTATATGGCATCTCCTGCAGATAAATTCAAAGATGTCAGCAAAATCTCATCAGAAAAATAACATTTAAATCATTAACTTTCAAATTTGGTTGAAAAAAACACAATTTTTTTCGTAAGCTAAAAAAACATTCAACTTTTGTTGATAAGTTATTTTAATCACAATCTTTTGTTGACCATATCATTTTAGTTATATCGTTAGTCAACAATTATAGTTGACTAATGATAGGTTTAAAATAACTTTTAAAGTTGATGATTTTTTTTGGCACAAATATAAATCAACATTTTTCAAAAATATTGAAAACCTTTAGATATTGAAAAGAATATTTTTAATAACTATGACACTAATAAATAAAAATATAAATTAAGAAATAACTCTAACCAAAAATATAAAAAGAATTCAAAATAACCAGTTAACATATCACTAATTGTGTATTTAAGTTAAAATTGATTATGAAGAATTTTTTTGATTATTTACAATTACTTTTAACATATATATATAATCCTATATGGCAAAAAGACATCCCTAATTCACCCCTGCTACGTGAAGATCTCGGGTATTCTCACCCTCGATCTCTCTTTCAATCCTCAAGGCTTGCTCTTTTAGCTCCTTCATACAAGGACCTCTCTCGAGTTTTGTGGTGCACAATTTCTCGTCAAAAGTGCTCATAACTCCAAACAATGTCTCATTGACCTCAAACTGATTCCAACTCCTATGAATGAATCACATATAAGAATGGTAGTGTACATAGTGAAAGAACAAGAAACTAGTAGGCAATCAAGTAACAGTGTCAACTAGTGCTGGGATCCTTGAGGGTTATCCCACTGCAGGATGAAGGTCTCAATTCGTTAAAAGAGTTGCATGAATTTTTATATAAAATTACAGAGCGGGCAGACCCACCAAAACCCGCATAATACAATGTCCAATTACAAGGCGGTTGAACCCGCTTTGGACCAAGGGGAGAAAATGAACCGAGAGAAGTAACACCAACACATCTCTTTATTAGAGGAAAAATCCAAAGCATTAAGAACATAGATTGAATAACACCTTAAACCTCTAAAACATTCTAGATTGGATAAGTCCAAGATTTTAAATCAGTAATATAAAAAGAAAAACATGAATCAGCACCTCTTCCAAGGGTCATCAAACACATTCTACATATCTGGACAATCTGGAACATCTTCATCAGGTACCCAACATTTCAGCTCTCTTTCCATATCAACATGATAAGACTGGGAGATAGAAGAGTCTGTCAACAGCTCTAACGGTGTCTCGCACTGAGCCGAATTTGAGACCTTATTGCTGTAGATAGGAAGGTCCTAACACCAAAACCAATGACAAAGAATTAATATTGTAAAAACACAAGGTAGTCTTTCCAACATGCTAACACATTGACAAGAGCATTAAGAACTCAACCCCATATACAAGAAAAGAGTACACACCTTAGCTATAACCTGCATAATTTCGTCGGTAGGGATGATGAATATCTTTGAAGGTGGCTTGCTGACACGATGAGCACGTAGTTTCATCCCTCATAAACCACCTTCCCTTATCAAGTATGCCATTTTCAAAATAATTCATGAAAGTTACAAAGCAGTTTTGTAAGAGAAATCTCTTGTTATATATCTCACATATCAAACGAACAAAAAGGTTTTCTCACCAAAATTATTCTCCACATCAACAGCATGAAATTTTCTATTGTAAACAGACCCATTTTTAGATGAACTTCGACGTGATGTCCGATCTTACAAGTAGTGAGGTACACAAACGAATCACGAGAAGGGGTATCCACAGTTCCATCTTCCCACCATTTTCTGCACACATTTATCAACAAACAAGATAACACAGGACGTGATGATGATGCTAGATCAGAATATAGATAATAGATGTATATATAACAAAATCTGCATTTTTCACGGTATGTGACTTCATTGGCATCCCTGCCTCTTTATCAACTCTTCTATGTGGATAACCATTAGATGATGAAGGATGGCTATTCATTCCCTTAACCTGTTCAAAACTGCAAATTGAAAAAGTAAAAGACATAAACTAATAAGTGGACAAAACCAACTACTTAATAAACGCTAAAGATAACTGTGCATGATCAAATTAAGTTGATGTCATATTTTTCAGATACCATAGGATGATGATTGGCCAACAATTGTCATTCTTAACAACATCAATTTTTAAATGCGATCTAACTATGCTTATGTTTCTGAATGTAATGTGACTGTTGAGTTCGTACCTTGATCTACAATAATATCTAACCCCTAACCAAGCATTTACATAACTAATCAATAACCTAAATCTTTATTAGATACGGAGTTGTAATAGAAAATTGCACCATAAATAACAAACCCTAATGACCAAATCCTCAAAAAAATTGACAGAATTTCTCAGGTGAGTAAAGAAAAATATCAGAATCTGCGGAGGGAAGTATGCGAAGATAACGTTTTACCTAAATAAACTGAAAGAGAAATTAGACAATCATTAGAGGAGACAGTGAACGTAGTGAATTAGGGTTTACAGACAGAGGTGAGGTTTATCGGTGGAGTTGCAGAGATAAAAACGAGTCAACAACTAATCTCAGGAGAATTAATTAATTTATACTTAACGGATAGATTTGATTGATAATTGATCCTCCTTTTTCGTCGCAATTACGAACAAATCACTATTTTATACGAGGAGAGGGTATGGTCCTGCATACAAAATAATGTTTGATTTTACTTATTGGGCCTTTTTTAGTTGGGCCAATTGTCTCTAACTCCTGTCTAGCTCCTACCATTTCTAGTCGTTCACCATTTTCAACTAGCTAATACTTTATTTTGTTCTGATTTTTTTTTTTTTTGGTTTTTGTTTTCACACCATCCAGTTATTTATGAAATTTGTTTGTTCCAGTTCAGTTGTTTTAGTTTTGGTTAAGGTAACATGGTTAGAAATCAACTAATATCCAAAAAAATTCGATTCCAGTGGTTCGGTTTAGGTTTTCCAGATAATTTGGTAAAAAAATAGTTTTGTTTTTATTTTGTTTGTTCTGTTATCAAATATCAGGTAAGTCAGATAAATTTAAATATTTTCGATAATTTGATTTTTAACCAATTTTAAATAATTCAGGTATAAAATATTCAGATAGTTCATTTTTGGGTAGTTTGGTAGAACAACATTTTTAGAATTTGACTATTTTAAAAGTAAATATAAATATTATTTTTAGATATATAAATATTATTTTAGATATTCATATTTCCCATTCGCCTTTGATTCATTTATATTTATGAGAATCCTTATAAATTATTATGTAACATAAATCCAACGCCATTATTTATTCTAAAAAAATAGAGTATTTGATTTTTAGTCCATTTCATGTATTTATGTCAGTATGGCTGTAACTGATTCTTTTTAAATGGAATGTACGGAATAAAAGAAATTGAAAATTTTAAAATAGAAAAAATAGAATGATTGTCAAAATGGAATAGAAACTAGTTAATTCCACTCATTTTGTTAATGCATGTATATTTTTTTATCATGAATGTTTTTCCATACATTCCAAAAATAATTATTGGAATGAGAAATTGTTTATTCCATTCAAATGGTAAAAGTAATTTGAAATCTACATGAATAAGTCATTCCAAACAATTTTATTCCAAAAATTTGCAATCCAGTTGCACCATGTATTACTAAATGGTAGTTAAGCATACCAAACAAAGTTTATAAACAAATTTATATAAAGGTGTGTAAGTTATCTTTAGTTAGCAAGAGAGTTGTAAAATGTAGTACAAACAGTAGTATATATTGATACACATAAAACAGAGTTTAGGGTTTGTATTTTGAGGTTTCCATATACACTAAATGTTTACGTTTAGGGGTGATCCATTTTTATTTTATAGGTTTAATTTTGGTCAATATATTTTAATAGGAATTAGAATGCATATTGTTTAGGTAGTGTTGGATTTACCTGTCAATCTGTCTCGCCGCAGATTGAATTATTTTTAATTCAAAAATCCGATTCTCATAATCTGTAATCGAAAAATCTTATATCTGCACCGACATGTCAAACCCACACGGATAATCTGCGGGTAATATTAGTTATATTAAAATAATTATTTTATATTTTACTATATTTTTTTAAAAAGTAACGTTAAAATAATATATTTATGATTAAAATTCTACAAATATTTATAATATTTTATGTATTTTTCCAAAAAAATAACTATTTTTTAAAAACAATTGGTAAGTTGGTGAGTATCCGTCTCAAATTTGGCTGACCTACACTGGCCTCGTTTAAAATAACTTCAACTGTACCCATAACACAAAATTTTCAAATCGCATGGCCCACACCTTCCTTACAGCGGATCAAAATGGATGGAAACCCGCATATTTTGAGCAAAATTCCGACTATATGTTAGGTCACTAGGATGTAATACAGTCCGTATAGTATTAGAATCTATTTTTTATTTTAAACTATTAATAAGGATAAAATATTGCAAGAAAATCTGTTTATGTGTTCGGTTAAGAAATTACATATATACCCATATGCTAATTTTAATTATTAATGAAAAATTAAAATAGCAATGGCATGATATTGTAAATAAATTGAAAACTAAGAGTGTATATAATTAGATTTAATATCATTGTTCATAATGTATTCTACAAAATAAAAAAGTGTATTAGCATATTTTGTAAATTACACATAGACACATGTTATTTTCATGTAATGTTTATATTTTTATAAGATAGATGTTAAAGCTTGTTTTTTATTAAAGAGTTTACAAATCCAAAAATGCTAGCATTCTTGGATTTGTGTGTATCGTTTATCCAATAGAGCAATCATTTTCCCACTTTTTCTAGATTTAAAAATAAATCATGATCCGTGGGGATGTGTGGATTTTATTTTTTTCGATATATTCTATATAATTTAGTTTTATTTAGTTTTGAGTTTGTTCAATTCGATTTTATGTTTAAAGAAGAATATCAAAATTGTCTTTTCTATTAATAGCGTCAAACAGTGTATTATGTAGATATAATCGTGCAGTGAAACACTAATTTAGTATGTTTGTTCGAAGTGCAAAATCAGATTCAAAATTAACTATTTGCAAATAAGTTGAAAGTTTAATTAGTTCTGATGTTAATAATTATCCAAAGTAGGTTAGGTCAAATTCAAACTTAACTTTGCGAGCACGTATATTATATGATGAAAATTTTCATAAGTAACTGAACAAATATATTAATAATTTGAAAAAATTTCTGTATTAAAAATATTTTTTTCATTTAATTAGTATTTTTAAATTTAATCCAGATCACGGTTAAACCGCTCTGATCCGATATTTCAATTTCATTATTTAAAATCTCCATATTTAAAAAATCACTAAAACTGATGGATACTATCCGACTAAACTGATGGATAACTGATATGTAATATTAAAACATATAAAAGTAAGTTTATTTTCATTATTTTATATATTATTTATTTTTTAATTTATCTAAATAATTTAAAAGAAAATTATGAAAAATATTAAAAAAGTGAGATCTAATATTTTGTATTGTACATAAGATTCATGATAGTGTTGTTTAGAAACATAGATATTAATATAAAGAAATGAGTATATTGTTTGTAAACATAGATACTAATATCAAATAATAAATACATTGTTTGGTAATATGGATAATAGTATAAAAAAGAATATTTGTAATTTAATATATGTTTAAATACAAATTAGAAATATATATTTAATTTAAAAACTTACAAAATAAATATTAGGTCCAACCTAATGTTTCTGTTTTAATAAGATAGATATTCGTATTTCTTACCATAAACCGAAAGAATAGTGCAGCCATTAAGTTATACTCATTTAGACCACAATTCATGTGTATAACATTTAGATAAAAGAAACTTTGAACACGGAAGATAATAATCAGACATAACCTCGGTTCGGGTTCTTGTCTAGCTCACGACTCTAATGTGAATAAAATAACATACAAGCCTGAAGCTATATAGATCTCTTCCAAACAGTTAGGTATCACATTTTTTTACCTTTTAGAAGTTGACAAAGTATGTACAAGAACAAACCAAACTTTGAATCTAATAGCAGTAGACCTTCTCTTCTTCATCAAAACAGAACACGTTTACTTGCTTGTTTGTTTCCTCTGAAAACCCACAGGCCACAGCCAGAAAGAATATCATCAGACTCTAGCGACCCGAGAAAACAAGTACAAGAACGGTGATCACAAGTGCAACACTGAATATCAAAGCCTGCAAATATATGGTAAATCCTCTTATTACAGCTGATTTGTGTGTTTGTCGTTTCATTTCATTGGAAGATAAAAGGAAGGAGATTTGAGGAGAAGGAAGTGCATATCTGAGAGAAAGAGAGAGAGAGATATACTCACAGCAATAGCAGAGGCAGCAAGACCAGATCTTTCACGTGGATCTCTACGGTAATAGCTAGTGAGATATAGGAATGTGGCAAAGTACCACGCAAACGGGAAGACGAATCCAACAAGAAACCTAACATTAAAAGAACAAATGGAATTGAAACTGCTGCTTTCAACAAGACAAGACAAAAAAGAGAAGAGTGAGTAGGAGAGACACCCACGATAACCATCCAATTCCAAAACCGAAGCAAGGAAGGGGCTTAGAGAAGAGTCCTCCTAACTCATTGTCCTCCTCATCACCATCACGGATCAGAACATACTTTCCTTTCTTTTGTTCCTCTAAATCTGCTTCACAAAATATTCCCCAAGGGATTGAGAATTCAACAATCATACAGAGAAACTGAAAAACAAAAAGATCACCGACTTTACTTACTTTCATTCATGGCGAATGAATTTATATAATATTATTCTCGCCGATTACACAAACTCCCTGTTACCACGAAACCTCAACATCAAGAATCTACCAAGATGTAAGAAAGACAAAAGCTGGTTTCTTTATTACATAGAGATGTTTCTAAAAAGCACAAAGCTGATTCCTTTGGATACCCAACATTTGAGGAATGTCGGCAGATTATGAATGATGATCCGATTACAAAAAAAACTACGAATTAACAATAAACCCTACAAAGTCTTCGGGTTCCAGGAACAATAAAAACAGACAAAATTCTCAGAGAAAAAAAATGTCGATTTTTTCTTATTTCCGAGTAAAATTGAAAAACAAGAAATTAGCGGAAAATGCAAAAGCGCTTACACGAACGAACCGATCGAGAGAAATTTCCTGCGAGATTCGTGACCGCAACCTACGGGAAGAGAGATTCTTGCTTCTTCTTCTTCTTTTTTTCTCAATCTCTTTCTGACATTTGTTTGTTTATTTGTTTCTCCGCGTAGCTCCTGATTTTACGTTTTTTTCTTTTGTTGCCACCGAAATAAAAACGGCAGTAAATTTTGGAAAAAAAGAAATGACTATAATATGAATATCTGCATAAACCAGATAAATAGCCTAAACTAATCTATACTATTATTTAAGAAGTAAATTTGCTTAGTTGTCATGTTCTTCTTGATTTTAGCTAAATTTGTTTATTTATCTTATTTAAATAATTTCATATACAATTTATTATTTAATAAAAACGAATTTCTATTAATAATATTATACTTTTACAAAACAAGATAATTCTTATGTATTATATTGCTATCTTTAAAATATATTTTTTATCATAGAAATTAAAAATTAAGTTACAATATTAATAGCTAAATATAAAGAAAGCAATGCTGATTTATCAACTTCTCCATGGTTTTATACTTTGCTTATTTATCATATTTTAATAATTTCATATATAATTTATTAAATAATAAAATGAATGTATATAATAATACTAGATTTTTTTTAAAAAAAAAAGATAATTCTTAAGTATTAGATTGTTATCTTAAACATATATTTTCTATTAGAAAATTTAAGTGAATTATCTAATTTATAATTTCTCCATGATTTAGATTATTTAGATTATTTGTCATATTTTTAATAATTTCATATAAAATTTATTATAAAATAAAAATGAATTTTTGTTAAAAATTATATTTTCAGAAAATAAATACTTCTTATGTATTATATTGTTATCTTGAAAATATATTTTTTTATTATAGAAATAAAAACTTAAGATAGAAAAAATATAATCAAAATAAATTCTAGCAACACATTTGTAAAGATATTTTGTTATGTGAGCGTTTTCATTTATAAGTAATTTTAAAACATAAATGATAACTTATTATATTGGTTTGAATTAGTAAAATATAAACTAATAATAAATTGTATGAAAATTATGCCCGCATGTGCGGGCAAAACACCTAGTAAATCAGTAAATTTACAGAAAACATATTAAGGTAAACACGTAAAAAAAAATCACAAGAACAGGTCGCAAAATACCATTAGATACCTTTCAGTATTGTTACAATCAACTAAGACTTGATTTAAATACAATATCCAAATATAAATATAAAAACCAAAACGTCTAGATATTGCATTTAGCTGGAACATATTGGATATACAAACAAACAATCTCTAACAAATAAAGAAAAAGAAATTCTGATCAAGTTATGAAAGTAATAGCTAAATTAGCAAGTAATCCTCCTAAACGTAGCATGCATTAGGTATTATGGGATAAATTTTGTATCTCAAAAAAAAAAAGAAGAAAAATCAAATTTAAATTGATCCATGAACTTAACTTGGTTTTACTAACAAAACAACTATGGAGATTAATTCAATTTCCGAATTTTCTTCTTGCAAGAGTCGTGCGAGACATATATTATCAACAAAGTTCATCACTACGGGTGGTAAAGGCATCTTATCCATCTTATTTGTGGACAAGTTTGATGGCTGTCAAACTTCTTTTAATGTTGAGAATCAATCAGAAAGTTCACTCAAGATACCAAATGCGTGTTTGGGAAGATCCGTGGATACCATCAGTCTTGGCTAGACCTCGAGCAATTAATCCAATGGTAAATCCACAAATGATAGTCAGTGATCTGATCCATGGTTCCTTGAAGGTATGGAATGTTGAGATGCTGGAGAATCTTTATTGTTCAAGAAGACATTCCAATTATCCGAACCAGAAATCCGTATGTCTTCTTTGCATACAGAGTTGAAGACCTTGATGTGAGCAATGGAGAGTATGATTCAGAATATCAACTGTCAACACTTTGAGACGGACTGCAAGAATGTTATGGCAATGACACAGAACCCGAAGGACTGGCCAAGCTACTCCACAGAACTAGGAGAGTTTGCTCTATTGAAGAAAAGACTTCCAGACTTTAAGATCTCCTACGTTCCAAGAATGCAGAATTGAACTGCAGATGGTTTAGCTAGGGTTACTCGTAACTTTTATCGCCAGTTGGTTTTTGTTGGTTGTTCTATTCCGGTCTGGATTCCCAAACCACCTCAAGCTTGAGTAATAGAATAGCTTTTTAGTGTTAAAAAAAATTCAAATAAAATATATCAAGGTCTTTAGAGGTTTTATCTTATTGATTAATGAATGGAGATATACATATAGACATATGAAATTTGCAAGGAGGGGGGATATTGCAAGTTATATACAGAAAAAAACTAAAATGTTAGTTCGATTAACAAATAAATAATGGTGTTTAATTTACCTACTTCCCATGGTAATCCGAAAAATAAAATCTGTTTTAACTCTCCCCAAAAAATACAGAGATTTTCAACGTACAAAACCCAGTTCCAATGTAAAAATATCAGGTTTAGAGACTCTTTATGAGCTTTGATGTGTTTTTGTTTGTGTACGGTTCTTTCTCTCTTTAGAGCAACATAGAATCAGGGTTCTCAAATGTAGAACTTGAATGCTTTCAACCATTCAGCTCCAATTGAACCTGCAGAAAGTCAGCTTATTTACATTTTATTCAACTTTAACAGTTTTGTAATGACTATGAATGTATGATGACAGAAAAAAAGAACTACCTTCCACGATCATGTGGTCACAGTTCAGTGTTACATGCATGTAAGAAGGAAAGTTGAATTGATCTGGATCGTTTCCATTGATAACTCTCTTTGCAAATGTTTTTTTACAAAATATTAACATGAATCAGTTATTTTGATCTTTGGTAAGATAGTAACATACTGTCTTGTAATGAGAGAGGAGAATGCGAGAGGAGAATGCTTACCAAATCCAACTGCTAGAATGGCGGCTTGAGGGAGATAAACCACTACACATAATTGCTAAAGGTCCTCCCAAATTAGAGACTGTAAATGTTCCTCCCAGAGAAAAAAAAAGCTTATTTTTCTAACTTGATATGCCGAAAGATAGATATGATCAGTGAGTACGTGATTTCTCTCACCTCATAATCTTGTATCTTTAAGTTGTTCTTTTTTGCTTTTTAGCTAATAACCAAACTTCTTCTTCAACTGTAGACTGACCTTTCTTGTCTACGTCCTCGAATCAAGATATTGGTACAATTCAGCAATTTGTGTGGCAGTGACGGGTTAAACAAATTTCTTGTGCGCTCATTTGCACACACCTTCACCAGAGGAACATAGAGCCAATTTATGTCTGCATTGCGACATTGATGTTAACGTTTTAAAACCTAAAGAGAAAGGTTAAGATGTTTGCTTAAGGCAGATTAATGTTCAAATTTTTTTCACTGATGTACTTACTGACGGATGTAATCATCAGTCCATGAACTATTATTGCACTAAAGAAGTTTTCTGAGAACTAATGCATGTAGATGGCAAGATATTAGAGATATTTTTTGGCTTGTTTGCAAGTATATGCAAAGAAGATGTACCTTAACAAGAGCATTGACAGATCCGTTTTCCACTAGAAGCCTCTTGGAATGAACTGAGCTCAGACTGCATATACAAAAATAAAATAAAATAAAAAATTCTTTGTCTAGCTTATGGAGTGACAATGACTCAAAATACATCATCGGAAACTTAATACTTACCCCATAAGTTTGTCAACACATGTATTGACGGTTAGGTAATAGTGAGGGATAGTTTGATTTGAGGATGCCAAACGTGAGGCTGTGGCCTGTCAAAATTATACAGTCAAAGAGGTTTCAGAATCCTTGATCCTCTTGAAACTTGATAACGAACCTTGCAAGGGTTATCTAAGGCTTTACCTTTCGTATCTGGGAATGACGAATGTCAACAAGTCAAAAGATGGAAACCTTAGAATCAGTGACCTTAGATTGGTTCATAGCAGATTTTTTACCACTTGAACCTGCACGATTGGAAGATGTATTATGACAAAATGATAGGTGAAACCGTAAACAGAGGCAAGAAAAGTCTGAAAAAAGCAAGGGGAAAAGAGACAAGGAGTTACTAATTACTAAGTACTCATATATGCCTTCACTATCCATCCTTCGGGGCATGTGCCTTTGATGCTTGAAAGAGGAACCTATTGTTTTTTTGAAGAAAATGAGAAAATAAATTAGCATGGATATTACGAACAAATTAATATCTTAGAACATTGTGAATGCTAACATTATTGTCTTCATCCAACTTTCTTGTAGAGATGACAACTGTTGGGGTCAAAATCGGTACGACGGAATCAATAGCCAAAACTCCCCACAAAAATACAAAAGGAATAGTTTTATAAAAACGGAGGAGTCGTTTTATAAAACTCGAAGTCATTTATAAAATTCGCAGACCGTTTTATAAAACTCGAGAAGCCATTTTATAAAACTCAAAGATCGTTTTATAAAACTCGAGAAGCCGTTTTATAAAACTCAAAGATCGTTTTATAAAACTCGAAGATCGTTTTATAAAACTCGAGAAGCCGTTTTATAGAGCTCGAAGAATCGTTTTATAAAACTCAAAGATCGTTTTATAAAACTCGAGAAGCCGTTTTATAAAACTCAAAGATCGTTTTATAAAACTCGAAGATCGTTTTATAAAACTCGAGAAGCCGTTTTATAAAACTCGCAGAATCGTTTTATAAAACTCGTGAATCGTTTTATATAACTCGAAAATCGTTTTATAAAACTCGAGAAGCCGTTTTATAAAACTCAAAGATCGTTTTATAAAACTCGAGAAGCCGTTTCATAAAACTCAAAGATCGTTTTATAAAACTCAAAGATCGTTTTATAAAACTCGAAGATCGTTTTATAAAACTCGAAGATCGTTTTATAAAACTCGAGAAGCCGTTTTATAAAACTCGAGAAGTCGTTTTATAAAACTCGAAGATCGTTTTACGAAACCGCAAAAAACCGAAACAGCCGTAAAACGCGAACTAAGCCAAGCTGGCTTAGTTCGCGGATGGGCGAACTAGAAGGCCCTTGACTAGTTCGCCCACCGGCGAACTAAGCCAAGCTGGCTTAGTTCGCCGGTGGGCGAACTAGTCCCGTCCCGACTAGTTCGCCCACCGGCGAACTAAGCCAGCTCGGCTTAGTTCGCCAGTGGGCGAACT